CGAATAATTATAAATATATCTATTGGTGGAAAAATCAAAAACTGTTATCAAATTTTGTTTTTAAAAATTTGTGAGTTGGGAATGTATATGCTTAATTCCATTATATTTTTAAGAGTTAATCTAATTATTTTCAGGTTGGACTGGATACAATGCAGCTGTCAGAGACACTGTGCCAACTCCAAACATGATTGGATTCCTGCAACCAGTCAATGAAAGTCCAACAGAAATCCCTGCCATGTATACAGTGATGAAGCGCTCGCAGTACTTCTCCAAACTCCTAGAGCTTCCAGAGGTGGACAGCGTGTATGATCAAGCCTGTTATGCTAAAGCATGTCAAATTCTTTGGGCATCTCCTGATGAATTCGGGAATGTTGTCAATCGCTTAGGTGCCTTTCATACAATACCAGTCTTCATTTCATGCATTTTCAAATTGTATGGGGATGCTGGCCTCACAGATGTCATCACAGAGTCTGGTATAGTAGCTTCTGGTTCATTGCAAGGTGTTGTGACTGGTCATCACTATAACAAGAACTCTTAAAATAGTGTATGAAGCTCTATGAAGGATCCAGTTTCAGGCGTTTGGAGGCAATCTCAACCAAGATGACATTGATATCAATCTAATTGAAGATCAAGTTCTGGAAATTCGAGACTGCCTTAAGAAAGACACAGTCAAGGTGGTTCTGCTGTCTGAAAACTTTCACAAGCTCTTTACACTGTTTGAAGAGTTTAGGCGGTCTAACGAGAAAGGACCACATGTTCTAATTCTGGAGCAACTTTCTAAGGATGGTAGAGATATTGTTAGCATTCACCAGGGCTGCTAGAGAAGGCAATTGGGAGCTGCATGTTGCAGCATTCAGAGAAATGCTGCCATTTTTTCTTTGTGCTCAATCACTCCAATTATGCGAGGTATGGGGCATACTACCTTTGCAACATGAGGAATCCATTTGCACCATGAGAAATCCATTTGCAAAGATTCCAGAGGATCAATCTATTGAGGAAACAATAAACAAGAGGAGCAAAATACCAGGAGGAATTGTTGGAAAAAGCAGAAATCCAGATGCAGTTGGGAGATAGATTGAAACAACAGCTGACCGCTCACAGATAACTGAAAACATCAGACGATATGCTGGCATATCAGATGAATGCAAATGGCTCCACAAAGAGGCAGGACCCTCCCGAAACAGATGAGAAAGATGTGAGACAGGTAGTCGAGGTCTTTGCCACCATGTTGAATCCTTTTTCTGAATCAGAGAAGTTAACTTC